AATCTCCCTGGAAGCTCAACAATAAATATTGTATATTCTAAAACCCTTAAAGCAAAAATTACCATAACACATTCAGCTTATTAAATGTTTCACCAGGGGGGCTTTCAAATAATAAAATCTACAGTAAATAATTCAGTGCAAACACATCCCAAGCTCTTATTCAACCTAATTACGTCCCAGTGCCTTCCAGAAGACATGACGCCGTCTAATCGCACCGCTCGAAAAACGCATCATGGATATGGATTAGACTACATTGAGAAAATGTATATATTGTTATAAATCTAACTATGGTGTGATTCGTACTTGTTATGCAGTCACAGAGTTTCAGCCAAATGTCATGAATTACCCATCACCCACCCTTAAAGGTCCCATATTGTATAAAGTGAGATTTCCACGTCTTTTTCGATTATAAAGCAGCTCTAGGTTTTATATTAATACTGTGAAAGTATCAAAGCGCTCAGTCCACAGAGAACTGTATAAATAAATACTTCTGTAACTTTGTGATGTCACAACATATTCGCTATTCGCTGTTTTCACCTAGGAAACAGTCAGCCAATCAGAAGAGAGGCTCAGAGCTCTCTTCTGATTGGCTGATGACTTGTTGTTACTAGGGCTCCAGAGAGACGCCTGAGAGAGAAATTGTAAAACTACACTGAATGGTACTAAAAACCACAAATATTATCTTCTTATGGATCAACACTTCAAATAAAACACTGGAGAAGTGTCAAATACGGGACCTTTAAGTTACACAGTCATAAATCTGATCATCAGTAATCAGATGCTTTTTCAGTCGTCTGGAAATATTAAAGTATTAAGTGTCGGTTCTGAGTGGATGTAAACAATGCAGAGTTAAAATAAAGTTCCAACACGATCTAAGGGGCATGTCAGACCCTGAGTAAGACAAATAAGGAGCAGAAGCAGAAACCCCCATGGATTCTACTTTAGACAACTAACGCAACACTTTCTGACCCCAATTATGGCGTCTGACACAAATTTCAAACAGTTAGGGTAATTATCCTGTGGCGTGATTAGTCAGAGCCTTTGCTGCAATCAAAGAGTCTGGTCTGGGCAATTTGGTGCTTAATTAAGTCAACAACTCTTTTGTGGTGGTTCACCTCAGGACAGCAGACAGTACAGTCTGACTGTGAAGGGCTCTCTTATGAGCCGACACTGTTTCTCTGCTGTCCTGGAGCAGATGAAGTGTGTGTGGTTTTTTAAACCGTTTGAGATTAATTAAAACTTACTTATTGACTGACTTACTTATCAAACTGCCACATGTCTAAATCTCGCTGAGGTGCATTTGGTTTTGTTCTTTCTGAAATATTCTACAAGACTTCATTTTAGGATAATAACAGTGATCCCTCCTCAGTAACACTCATTCACATAACCTTCCTCCAGACGTAATCTTCTTATATTTGTATTTCAATTAACTCAAATCCCTCAATAAGTCGTCAACGTTTGTGTTAAATAATCCCATCTACAGTCTACTGTGTCTCCATCCTCTGTCTGTGCCTGGATGGTCCTATCTGATATTTCCTGGAGTGTGTCACATAGATAAGTGTGTTCTAGTCAGACCCCTGCTGGAGGTTCCTCTCATAGTTTTCCAGACAGATGCGGACGCGGTGAGTGAAAGTAGTTGGGGTCAGAGATGGCCCGGAGGAGGTCAGTCTGCACCAAGGTAACGTCATACAGCTCGGAGGTGCTGGCTGTACGAGTCTCATCACCACCTGGGCTCAAGAAAACCTGAGAAAAAGTGAAACCAGGGGAAAGAGGAGAGAAATTCATGTTGCTTATCTTTCTCATCACCACATCTTTCAGAGCCCTCTTTAAATTAAATATACGCACACAACGGCTGAGAGAGCAACAGTGGACGATTCATTACACTGAATGAATGTTTGGGAATGATGGTTTGGTGTGATCACGACCTGATCTATGGTTATATTGAGAAGCCTGTGCTTCTAAGCTGCATCATTTTCAATCTATCTGCTCTTTATATATACGTGTATATATATATATATATATATATAAAACCATTGAGTTAATGGCATCAGGCAGCAGCTCTAAGGAACCTTCATACAGATATATGGTCTTATTTGTTAGACTGGTTGGTGTGGATATTGTGTTATCGTTATTGCAGCTGTGCTCAGAGAAATCACTTCTATTAATGGATGGAAGTCGGCAGTGAGAGCTCAGTGTTTCCCACTCAGAGGGATTTTGGCAGGTGATAGATCCTGTTTAGAAGCACAGGCTTCTCATATAACCATAGATCAGGTCGTGATCACACCAAACCATCATTCCCAAACATTCATTCAGTGTAATGAATCGTCCACTGTTGCTCTCTCAGCCGTTGTGTGCGTATATTTAATTTAAAGAGGGCTCTGAAAGATGTGGTGATGAGAAAGATAAGCAACATGAATTTCTCTCCTCTTTCCCCTGGTTTCACTTTTTTCTCAGGTTTTCTTGAGCCCAGGTGGTGATGAGACTCGTACAGCCAGCACCTCCGAGCTGTATGACGTTACCTTGGTGCAGACTGACCTCCTCCGGGCCATCTCTGACCCCAACTACTTCACTCACCGCGTCCGCATCTGTCTGGAAAACTATGAGAGGAACCTCCAGCAGGGGTCTGACTAGAACACACTTTATCTATGTGACACACTCCAGGAAATCCAGATAGGACCATCCAGGCACAGACAGAGGATGGAGACACAGTAGACTGTAGATGGGATTATTTAACACAAACGTTGACGACTTATTGAGGGATTTGAGTTAATTGAAATACAAATATAAGAAGATTACGTCTGGAGGAAGGTTATGTGAATGAGTGTTACTGAGGAGGGATCACTGTTATTATCCTAAAATGAAGTCTTGTAGAATATTTCCAGAAGAACAAACCAAATGCACCTCAGCGAGATTTAGACATGTGGCAGTTTGATAAGTAAGTCAGTCAATAAGTAAGTTTTAATTAATCTCAAACGGTTTAAAAAACCACACACACTTCATCTGCTCCAGGACAGCAGAGAAACAGTGTCGGCTCATAAAGAGAGCCCTTCACAGTCAGACTGTACTGTCTGCTGTCCTGAGGTGAACCACCACAAAGAGTTGTTGACTTAATTAAGCACCAAATTGCCCAGACCAGACTCTTTGATTGCAGCAAAGGCTCTGACTAATCACGCCACAGGATAATTACCCTAACTGTTTGAAATTTGTGTCAGACGCCATAATTGGGGTCAGAAAGTGTTGCGTTAGTTGTCTAAAGTAGAATCCATGGGGGTTTCTGCTTCTGCTCCTTATTTGTCTTACTCAGGGTCTGACATGCTCCCTTAGATCGTGTTGGAACTTTATTTTAACTCTGCATTGTTTACATCCACTCAGAACTGACACTTAATACTTTAATATTTCCAGACGACTGAAAAAGCATCTGATTACTGATGATCAGATTTATGACTGTGTAACTTAAAGGTCCCGTATTTGACACTTCTCCAGTGTTTTATTTGAAGTGTTGATCCATAAGAAGATAATAATTGTGGTTTTTAGTACCATCTCAGTGTAGTTTTACAATTTCTCTCTCAGGCGTCTCTCTGGAGCCCTAGTAACAACAAGTCAGTCAGCCAATCAGAAGAGAGCTCTGAGCCTCTCTTCTGATTGGCTGACTGTTTCCTAGGTGAAAACAGCGAATAGCGAATATGTTGTGACATCACAAAGTTACAGAAGTATTTATTTATACAGTTCTCTGTGGACTGAGCGCTTTGATACTTTCACAGTATTAATATAAAACCTAGAGCTGCTTTATAATCGAAAAAGACGTGGAAATCTCACTTTATACAATATGGGACCTTTAAGGGTGGGTGATGGGTAATTCATGACATTTGGCTGAAACTCTGTGACTGCATAACAAGTACGAATCACACCATAGTTAGATTTATAACAATATATACATTTTCTCAATGTAGTCTAATCCATATCCATGATGCGTTTTTCCGAGCGGTGCGATTAGACGGCGTCATGTCTTCTGGAAGGCACTGGGACGTAATTAGGTTGAATAAGAGCTTGGGATGTGTTTGCACTGAATTATTTACTGTAGATTTTATTATTTGAAAGCCCCCCTGTGTGAAACATTTAATAAGCTGAATGTGTTATGGTAATTTTTGCTTTAAGGGTTTTAGAATATACAATATTTATTGTTGAGCTTCCAGGGAGATTTTTAATTTGTTTACCTCAGGTCATTTTTAGAGAAACAGCTGAATGCAAACTAAGAATCTAAAGACCACTGATGAAATGAAGGTTACTGAGGAGTGATACCAGTATACTTTTTCACTATACAGTATATAGAGCATTGATCTCCTTGATAAAGATTAAGTGCGGGTGCAGATGGTGATAACATTACAGTATTTTACTCTTGCTCAGCTTTCACATCTGAGTTTCACTTCACGAAACTCTGAAGACAAAAAGCTCTACCACTAATTCTTCCTCAAAATCTCATTATGGCACAAAATTAAAATCTGTGCACCAAATTATGCAGCGAGGTTATCAGAGCATCACTGCGCTCTACATGTTTATCACAGAATTTTAATAAGTGTTGCATTTTTAAATAAAATGATCATTAATCAAATAATGCTGTCATACGGTAATTACATTAGTCCTCATCAAAACAGTGTGAGCAGTAGTCGTTCCTTCAAGTCTATGCATAACAATACTAATGAGGAAAAGTGGGCAGTTGATGGTGAATAGTAAGAACGACTTCTGAAAACTTTGTGTATTTAATATTAGATTTTACATTATAGTAAACCCTGCAATTCATATAATGCAAAGTGATTACTTCACTGCATCAGTTTAGTTTTTCTGTTCTGTGCTCTTTATTCAAGACACCAGCTCTCAGATATATGAATTACTTGCATAGGTTTGATCGTCTAAAATACAGTACACTAGAGTAATACTGTATTTCTCAAAACAAGGAAAAATGCTTGCAAACACTGATTTATGAATCTGCTTGGTAACAAGCAGTGAAGCTAATAACTGGGCTAATATAGGGCGGGTTTATTTTGAAGACCGAGCATGTGACCGAGGAATCTGCAGCGTTTACGTAAAAACAGCATTTTGTTGTAAGGGGAGAAAAAAATATCTTGTTATTGTAGCTACTGCCGTTAAAACTTAGCAATTCTAAAATACTGTAATATTACACATTGGAGTCACATCCAGACATGTGATGCACATCACATCAAAACATGACATGTTTCATTTATATATTTTTTTCTGATGTTAAATATTGCCATTCACTGTTAAATAAACCTTTACGGTTTTTGTTACACTGTTTGATGTTTTGCATAATGACAACATAAGAACATAACGGCTCCAGAGATAAAGGAAGTAAAGTCAAATTGTTTTAGCTCTCGTCTTGAAGAAGAAGGTCAGAATAAGATCAATGGGGAAAATAGTTTGGGACCAAACACACAGCTCAGTTCATGTATAGATCATCGATAGGGTATCGATTGTTCGATTGGTGTATGTTTGAGCAGCTCAGGTCCACTGGGGATTAATTACAGATGATACAAAGTGTTGAGGGCAAAGGTGTGATGAGTATCTGCCTTGAACATTAAAAACATCTTCCTACCATATCAAAGCAAATGTTCTCATCTACACATTCATCAGCTGCTGCGGTGACTTCAAATGCAAATAAACCGTGGAAGCAGGAGACCAAATGATGAGGGAAATGCTTGTCAGATAAAATACTTCCCGACATGGGTTTAAAATTGCAAAACTGGGCTTGACAAAAATGTTTGAAATGAGGTCTTAACGAGGTGTCTCTACTTGTACTCTCCTAATATGCTTGTTTAATTGACTGCTTCATTATGGCAGAGGTCAGGCACGTTAATGCGGGACGAGTCATGTGTGCGTGTCCCGGACAGATTGTGATTGATGATGGGAAGCGTTCCTGGCTGTTGAACATTTGATGGTTTACTAACAAAGCAGATGGTACAACAGTGTCAGCCAAGACGACTGTAAAGGGAACTAGTGGAGCTGTAACATAAAAAGTCTAAATCTCATCGACTCATCTGGTTCTGTTGTTTATTCTCTTCTGCTTGTTTAGTTTTATCATTTTCTATTTTGCTCTGATTAATCAGTGATTGGTATTTATAGTGATACCGAGAGTGTCACTATGAATAATGGAAAATCAGTCTTTTGCACTGTCATTTAATAACTCAGCATTTACTGATGGGGCTGATGAATCTATAATTTCACTGATCTCTTAATGAGCAATGTGCTTCCATGTTTTGAGCATTTACAAAGTAAATTTGCCTCGTGTACTGTTTAAAATATTTTCAAGTGAAGTTTTGTAACAACATAATTTAGTATATCCTTATTCTCCAGGATGGAGTAAGTGTTTTAAAAGATTCCCTTATTAAAAGGGGCACATGTGTTTATGTATGAAAAACTATCTGAGCTGATGTGTATTAACCTGTGGTAGTTTTGTATCTCTGCTGCTATCGCTGCCTTCGACTCTGTCAAAGGGTTGACTGAAGTAAAATAAGTCAATTCCAGCAACAAGTGAAAACCGGTCGATACAGCTCGTGTAAAGTTAACTGTACATGAGCTGGTGTGGCAGCTTCTGTCCAGCAGTAACTTCTGGTTTCATTTTGAATCAGTAAACTCTCAAAATTCCCAGCAGATATTTTGACTTGTTATAGCAGGAAAAGCACAGGTGGAGTTTATAACATTAAGGATGGCTCACTTGCAGGAGTGTCCCAGTGAAAGTAAGCTGTACAACACCGGAGCATCTGTTTAGTAGAATCAGCCACCGTTAACGCCCTCTGACCTCTTCCAACTCAGATGCACTCTACACCCAAACAATGACACCGGGAGTTTTACAAAAGGATGGAATAGGAAGACAGACTTCACAGATCCATCCACTTTAATTAATCACTAATTATTATCCAGTAATGTAATATACAGAACTTTATTCTGAAAAGTAAGGCCTACTTTTACTTTTGGTAATTTAAGTAGATATCGTTCAAAATGCTTCTTTCACTTAGGCTGAGTAAGATTTTGAAGGCAGGACCTTGTACTTGTAACAGTACTTCTAAACAGTAGTATTACTAAAAGTACAGATAGCAATACCAAGCTTTTCTCCTGGCTCAGTATACACCTGGTTCCATGGCCCACATCTGGCCCATAAACAACATGATTGTCAGACGCTACCTGCTCCTCTGGACCAACTCTGGCGCACACTCAGTTACCCTCGTTCTGATCCCGATGAAAACTGTGTTAGAAAAGAATTAGAGGTAAATCGCTGTGTAAACGCGTTGCTCACTGGGCTGCAGAACCATTTTAACCGACTGTGTTTCATGTGTTCAGTGGTTTTAAGTGATGGTCGAGAGTTTCCTCAATCCACATGAGGGCAGCAGTGCAGCTCTTGGTGCACCTCACCTTCCTTCCCTTCAGGTGAGTCCTGAGTTACCTGGTGCTGTGGGTGAGCGGCGGAGAGGCTGAAACCAGCGGCTGCTTCACCGCGTCTGCACGACAGAGAAAGAGGGCAGTGAATGTTGGAGTTAAAGTGGTGACTAGTCGGGTGCTGTCACTTCAGCGTGGTGGAGGGACAGCTGGCACAGTGAGCGCAGGAGTTGGCGGGGCTTTCGGGATTGCGTAAATGCGCACTGGTGAGTGAATGAGGGGAGGAGACGGGAGGAGAGGGACGGGAAGAGGAGGCAGGAGGGGGGAGAGATGTTGAGTCAGTGGAAGGAGGGCGATGGTAACTGAGGGTTTCGATGGATTCTGTCACTGAACAGGTACGCAACAGGAGCGATATTCCCGCCTTTGTCCTCATTCTGGTTCCAGCTCCGGCGAGCTCCGACGCACCTTTGAGACCGTCCACCGGCCGGACAGAAAGGTACGAACTGTACTCACCCAACTTTCCTCCTCCGCTTTTATTTTAATGTGGTTATTTTAAATGGTCAGCTGACGCACAGGCGCGCCGGCAGACTTTTTAAAGCAGATGCAGCGTGCCCTTGCGCTGCCAGGGAGACTTTGGGTTGGTGCAGTATCGCGCTTCACCTCCGCGCACATGTGCTCTTTGGGACGAGATGTTGCTGTCGGGCGTTGAGGATGTGTGCTTCAAATGGGTATGATCAGGTGTGGAAACGCATTGTGTGTAAGTTTAAAGAAGTCCACGTTTAATGATGCAGATGTGGCGATAAATGGTGGTCGAGGATCAAGATGTTATCGTCAGAAATCTGTTTGGACGCCGTATCCAAAATAATCCCATCACAGGTTAGTATGCAGGTCTGAGAGATGTAGCATCACTTGTCATGTAGTTGTCATGAGCTGCTTTTGCAAGTTTGGATTGAAAATGATCTCAGCGGCGTGGACTTCGACAGTGCGCAGGATTTAGCGCCGCGCTGCTCCTGTGCCGTGTTGTGCCATTTGCTGGAAGCTTTTTTTTAATGTGTTGCGTGATTTTTGGTGCAGATCCGGGGATTTAAGCGTAAAGGGGTTGCAGGGCAAATCCACACAGCTGTTAAGTGAGATGTGTCTTTTCTAGACAATCTGCTGCGCTGTGAAACATCTGGATGTGCCTGTCAGTCAAGGAGCAGGGTTCCCCATGCAGCTTTTAGAGTTTCTCCTCTCTTTTTGCAGAGTTGAGTGTGTGTCTTCAGGTGTAGAGAGTCTACCCTCCTCCTCCTCCTCCTCCTCCTCCTCCTCTGGGAATGACGAGATCGCTGCTCACGCTCTCTCTCTCATCATCCTGCAGTTTGAAATCTCTTCCTCCTCTTGCTGCTGTCTGCTGCTTCTAAAGCGGCTGTTTGTTCCCCTGACAGATTCTAACTTCTACAGCTCCTTCCATCACCCCCTCTCCCGTCTCTTCTCTGTGTTGGTGCTACTTTTCCCATCTGACCTGTGATGTTAGCTCCTAACTTGGCGTGAGTTCATTTGCATAATGAGGATTACAGCCGACATGCAGCTTCTGGGCCTGTCTGGCTGGATCCAGCAGAGGAGCACGGTGCTGTGGCAGCTCTCATTGTGCCAGCAGAATACCACCTTCAATCAGACCTCCACCAGGAAGGCTGCGTGTCTGCTCTGCCGCTTTAGCACCATCAGTGCAGGAGTGAAGGACAAAGTCAACTGGACTGTTTGAGTATGAAATTATTCAAGTATGAAATTGGCTACTGATGTTGTATTCAGCGGTGGCTTATTAGATATAAATGGCTAAATTAAAATGCATGATGTTTTATTTTTTTTTTCTCCAAACGTTATAAGCATTGCAAACTGATTGCCTTAGCCATTAATAATTTTAATTAGCATCAGTTCAGTCTGGATGAAGAAAAATGCATTTCCTCCTGTTAGTGTTTATTGATTTTTTTTTAAATCTTGCTGCTTGTGCTGCATAAACACTTAAGCCGCCCACTTTACAGCTAAATTTATTCTTCAGTTCAAACCAAGGGTCAGAGCCCACAAGAGGACACACAGTCCTGAAGCTGGTGTGTTTCCCAGGGAGGATGACTACATTTCACGCCAGCTCGGCCTGTTTTGCCTGTTTTCTTAGCGTTTTATTTAATGTTCCGGCATCTCTCTTCGACTTTACTCTGATACCATTATTTTCTGGTCATTTCATGCTGATTTAGTGAAAGCACGGTGGCTCCTATCTTGAAAACTTGTTGTTTGTGATGTTTGTGATAGGCTTGTCCTCCTGTTGAACTTGCTGTAGTCTGTGCTGGATAAAAGCGTCACCTGGGAACAGCTGATGATAACCTGGGCCCTCATTTCTCAACTGTGTGCAACCACAGGTTTGTGCTTAATCCATGCTACAATAATTCCTACACATACAATCTGATTTATCAGTTTCTTCTTGTGCTTCAGAGAGTGTGTACATTGAGAAACCCTCCTGACCATATTAACCAACAAACCCTCGAGTGATACACAGGTGGGATTGTGGGTAAAGCAGTTTCTAAATTGCAGATGCATAAACCAACTCTACTGTCAACATGATTGATAAAAACCAACTCTAATAAACCAACTCTACTTGTAAGAATAACTGAAAGGTTGTCGACCATTGTTTTTGAAGATGTGCTTTTCTGCTTTTACTTGGAAAATGAGGTAATTGTGTCTTTCAGACTTAAATGTCACTATTTCATCCTGTTTCTCTGATACTGAGCAGTCAGAGGATCTCAAACAAGCAGTAACAATTAACTGCTACATTTCATTACACTGTTTCATAACTGAGCCAGGTATATTTTCTGTTTTGATGTAACTGTTAAAATTGCGTTGAAGTGATACTGTGTCCAATATCTATTCTGTTTTTCTGTGATTTGTTATTTCACCATCACATCACTACCTCTTCCCATTCTGTATCTACATTTATTCATTTTTAGACAAGTCATTTGCGGAAGTGTCAGAGCAGTTTGGTTTAGATGAATTTCATTTGATACTTGGGTTCTCCGCAATGAAACTATCATACACAGGCTGTTTGACATTATACAGCATTTATTTTGGTAGGTAGCAACAGGCTGAGCAACATTTCATCAAAACTATAATTTGTGCATGGTGGGGAGAACTTAACAAAATTGTGAGAACTGCATCACACATGATGTAACTACACTTAATGAGCACTTCTATGACAACAAATGAAGTGTGGAAATGGTGCAAAATGTGGCAGAACAATACAAGAACACCAGTCACAATGCAGAAAACATTGCATGCTGGGAAGTTTTCCCACACACCTACTCTTGTGACACTGCAGTATCTGTACCTCAATGTCCGTAAGGTTTTCTGTTTTTATCTTTTATGGGTGCAACATTAAGGCTGCTAGGTCTTTTGAAGGAACGTGTTGAAGTTATATGCCGTTCTGTGGTGTGTCTGCGTGTAAACGAGTCCGAGCAGATGGACGTAGAACAGGTGAGAGGTGAGATTTATCACTGTACATTGCGTGACGATGTGCACGCCAACTTTCTTGTTTGTACCTACACACATTTAGCCCTTAGTATGCTTTGATGAATGATGTTCCTGGATTCTGCAGGACAGGGGAAGAGTATGAGTGTACAGTATAAAATGT